GAGACGGGAGGCTGACAGTCGAGGTACAGCGTAGTCGACACAGTTGCTCAGGTGAGGAGCTTGATCGAGGATGATCACGGCCCCGGGGAGAGCGGTGTGGCAGGAGAGGTCCATCGTTCATGCTGATGGATGAGGTGTCGAGCTTCGAGGGTATCCTGGGGACGCATCTGTTCAAGGACTACGACAAGAACTTCTTCGGGTCCTTCAGCGCGTCGCTCTTGTAAGCAGAGGCAGGGCGGGGGAGGAGAGGGGCAGGACAGAGGAGGGGATGGAGAAGGGAGGGAAGGGAAAGGGGAGGGAAGGGAAAGGAAGGGAAGGGAAATGAGGGGAAGGGCAGGCAGGGAGCAGGAGAGAAAGGCTGAGAGGGGGAGGGCTGGGGGCTGGGAGGCGGATCAGGGTCTGACGGGAGTGTTTTATGCATTGCTGCGGGGCTGGATGGGGGCGTGCGGACGCGGTGGGCGGGGGACGCGGGACGGGGCTGGACTGAGGGGACAGCACAAGTAAGGAGAGGAGAGGAGGGGGAGAGGAAGGGAGGGAGAACTGACGGAGAGGATGGCAGTGTTCCAGATCATGACGGGAGACTCGTGGGCAAGCTCGGTATCGCGGACGCTGTTCGACGAGGTTGGGCCGGACGACGCGGAGGCAGGGAACCTGAACCGGCGGGTGGCGCTCTTCTCGATCTCGTACGTGATCATAGCGACGATCATCCTGGTGAACATCGTGGTGGCGGTGCTGCTGGACGAGTTTATCTCGTCGGTGACGCGAGAGAAAGAGGAGCAAGCGAGGCTGCTGCAGGAGCAGCGGGAGCTGGAGGCGAAGGCGTCGAGGATCTCAGGGGTGCTGGACCCGCTGCTGGTGTCGATCTCGTCGTTCAACGACAACGTGGACTTGTCGAGTCGGATCAAGCAGCTGTACGCGATGCTTGACGCCGACGGGTAAGGCAGAGGGAGGCAGTGGGAGGGCATGAAAGAGGAAGGGAAGAGACAGCAGAAGGCAGATGAGGGTAGGGGAGCAGGAAGAGGGAAGGGGAGCTCGCGACTTGCCATCTGAGAGGAGGCGGCAGGGGCGGCGGGCTGGACTTCCACGAGCTGAACGCGGGGCTGAAGCAGCTCCCGCTGCCGACGCCGATCCATCTGACGCTGGACGACTATGACATCATCACGGAGGGAGGAAACCTTTGCAAGGAGGATGGGGAGTTCGACGCGGACCAGTTCCAGTCCATGTGAGGCAAGGGGGGGAAGGGAGGAGGGGCAGGCAGGACTGGGGGGAGAGGGGGGAAGGGGGGGAAGAGGAGAGAGAAGGGGGCGTAGGGCGCGGGGCGGTGACGATGGTGTTGGCGGTACAGGATGAAGGGAGAGCTGAAGCGATACGCTCAGCGATGCGTCGCCAACGCCATGTCGGAGACGGAGAGGAAGGAGTAAGTAGCGAGGGGGAGGGAGGGGGAGGGGGAGGGACGAGGATCAGCAGAGGGTGTGTATGGGGCGGAGGGGCAAGAGGAGGGAGGGAGGGAGGAGGGCGGCGTCTGACGGGAAGGGTGGGGGTACAGGGATCACTCGATCTTGTTCATGCTGAAGCTGCTGACGATGACGGTGGACGAGATCCATGCGGGGATGAAGCAGATGGAGAAGCAGCAGGCGGAGGTAGAGGGGGTGGGGGAGAAGGTAGAGAGGATGTGCAAGGAGCTAGGGGATCAGATCTCGGAACTGCGGGGGTTGATTGGAGGGGCGAGAGAGGCTGCTTTGGATGCGCCTGCTGTTGTCAAACAGTTGCCGAGCAAATCGAGGAATGTTGCTGTAAGAACATCTGAGTTGTTTGTTTATACCCTTATGATGGTTTTTGTTGCGGTGACAGAACATGGGAGGTTCACTGAACGATGTATTCTCTGCTAATGCTTCTTTTTGTTGTACTTTTCTGACATGTTTACAGTTGAATCAAAGTCAAGTGGTTGGGCCTTACCGCATCGGATCTGTCAATTCCCCGGAGTCTCAGGTGTCGTACGATCTGTTGGATTGCTGTATGAGTTCTGTCGTCCAGAATCTTTACAACTCTGTCCGTTTTCCTCCTCCCACCAATGGCAGAGCGTCTGAAGGAGGAGCTCCGCGCGCTCAAGCAAATGGAAGGCCGAGGGCGAACTCGACCTTCACGCGCAAGGACCTGGATGACTGGATCACAAACGTCAAGGCGAACGGCAGCAAGGAGAAGGCGAGGAGGGGGCCTGAAGCTGTCAAGGGGGACTATCAGGGAGCAAGCGGCGGAACTCATACAAGTCTCATGGAAATTGAACGAGCTCGAAGAGAGAGTATCAGGGGCAGCAACAAGACCACCAGCACAACTGATTACCTGCTTGTGACCCGAGATGCCGGACCTCAGTCGAACCGATCGAACAAACCAAAGCGACAGTTGTCATCAGTGTTTTGACAATAGTAATGGCTCTGTTAACATCGACATCACAATCCCCGACTCAATTTTCCTCCCTTTGCTGCTCATTTTGCCATAATGTTCCTCTGCAGCATGAAAACAACATTTTTTTCATTGACTTTTGTGTTGATGCTCAAGTACGTTTTTCAAATACAACAAGTAACGTGGTTTATCTCTCAGTCTCATCGTCCCCAAGGATGCTTGCCTGGTCCATCCGTGAGAAGCATGCTCTACTCGCTCAATCATGTTGAGAGACAAGACAAGCTCGCTCTACTCGCTCAATCATGTTGAGAGACAAGACAAGCTCGCTCTACTCGCTCAATCATGTTGAGAGACAAGGCAAGCTCGCTCTACTCGCTCAATCATGTTGAGAGACAAGGCAAGCTCGCTCTACTCGCTCAATCATGTTGAGAGACAAGACAAGCTCGCTCTACTCGCTCAATCATGTTGAGAGACAAGACAAGCTCGCTCTACTCGCTCAATCATGTTGAGAGACAAGACAAGCTCGCTCTACTCGCTCAATCATGTTGAGAGACAAGACAAGCTCGCTCTACTCGCTCAATCATGTTGAGAGACAAGACAAGCTCGCTCTACTCGCTCAATCATGTTGAGAGACAAGACAAGCTCGCTCTACTCGCTCAATCATGTTGAGATACAAGACAAGCTCGCTCTACTCGCTCAATCATGTTGAGAGACAAGACAAGCTCGCTCTACTCGCTCAATCATGTTGAGAGACAAGACAAGCTCGCTCTACTCGCTCAATCATGTTGAGAGACAAGACAAGCTCGCTCTACTCGCTCAATCATGTTCGAGCATGTTAGATATTGAGGGCAGCCAGTCAGCGACGTAGAGGAAGGGGTACATGTCGGAGAATTAAAAGGGAACTGGGGTAGGGTACCCTTTCTCAAAAAGTTGCTTCCTGATTTGCAGGCAATGGGTGGGGTGGAAGATACAAATCTGTACCGAGCGAATGACAAACAGAGGGGGTAGGGTATGTTCGAAAGGCACCAATAGAGGTGTGTTGTAGTGAAAGAAGGGGGTAGGGGCGAAGGGGTAGTCTCTTGACAGGCGCGAGATGGCTGCGGCGCTGATGTCGCGAACGATGTCGGGGAAAGCCGAGGAAGGGAAATCATCCAACATGCAGAGCAATGCCGAGATGAAGAAGGCTGCGAGCATGCGGATGCTGATGGAACAACAAAATGAGAACCAGAAACCTTCCTTTGGACAGGTCATAGCAAACGATCATAGCACACATGGGAGCATGTCTGAAGAGCTCGTGTTGAAGGAATGCGGCAAGCAGCTTCGATCTGGCATCCTCGAGAAGAAGATCGCTGGTACAGTCGTCACATGGAAGACACAAGGCGTCGTCCTCACCGACCGCATGATCTGCTTCCTCAACGACGATGGCGTCATCGAGGACGACGAGACCGTGATCGACTACATCCCGCTGCATGAGGTGGTGCAGCTGATGATGGAGGGGGAGAACAAGAGCGAGCGCGAGGAGAAGCTTTGCCTCATCATCCGCACGGTAGAGGGAGGACACAACTCCGGGCGTACGTACGTGTATCGGATGAAGACGGAGGCGGAGTGCCTTGAATGGCACAAGGACATGTCGACGGGGCTGAAGCTGGCGATGAAGGCGAAGCGGCAAGAGCAAGAGCTGCAAGAGATCGGGGACAGCAAGTATCTGTGGCTGCGCTTCAAGGCGAAGAAGCTGATCAAGGCGCGGACAACACACATAGGTAAGCAGTGAGAAGGAAGGCAGGAGGAGAAGCAGGACAAGCAAGAGTAGGAGGAAGTGCAGAGAGGGAAGGCAGACACGTCGGTACTGACGGGTGCGTGCAGTGATGTCAGTGCTGATCTTGCTCAACTTCTTCGTGGATGTGTACGAGGCCGAGAGCCTGCCCGAGGCATCATCAAGCGATGGAGTGTTTGTGAGGACGGTAGGGATACTTGTTACAGCTTTCTTCACAGTAGAGGTGTCGGTAGCAGCGTTCGCCATGTCCGAGAACCACTTCAAGCCCTTCTACTCAGACCCCTGGAACATCATGGACCTCATGGTCGTCGTTGTCTCGTTAGTCTCGCTTGGCTTCGAGACAGACCCGCAGCTGAAGGTGTTGGGGCTTGTGCGGATCTTCAGGTCAGGAGGAAGGAGGAGGGAGGGGCGAGGCTGGTGAGGAGACGGGAGGCTGACAGGGAGGTACAGGGTAGCGCTTGTGTTCCGACAGGTGAAGAGCTTGAACAGAATCATCACGGCGCTGGGGAGGGCGGTGGTGCCGCTGATGAACGCGTTCATGCTGCTGCTGCTGGTGTCGTGCTTCTACGCGATCCTGGGGACGCATCTGTTCAAGGACTACGACAAGAACTTCTTCGGGTCCTTCAGCGCGTCGCTCTTGTAAGCAGAGGCAGGGCGGGGGAGGAGAGGGGCAGGACAGAGGAGGGGAAGGGAAGAGGGAACGAAAAGGGAGGGAAGGGGAATGAGGGGAAGGGCAGGCA